TTCGAAGGAGGCTGTTTCCACTTACGCGTGTGAATATCTAATATTTCAGCTCGTGCTTCAAGGCTAGGCAAGGAGAAATTGAATTCACGGTCAAACCTTCCAGGACGGCGAAGGGCACCATCAATTGCGTCGACCCTATTTGTGGCTCCGATCAAGACTACTTGCCCACGTGAATCAAGACCATCCATTAAAGCAAGCAAAGTTGACACAATGGAATTATGAATCTGCTCTTGTTTGCTAGACCTTACAGGGGCAAGTCCATCAATCTCATCAAAGAAAATTATGGAAGGTTGGTTCCTTTGAGCTTCTTCAAACAACAACTTCAGTTGTCTTTCGGCCTCACCAACCCATTTGCTGAGAACGTCAGCACCTTTTCTCATGTAAAAGTTGACTTTCTGGCCAGCCTTTGAAGCAGCAGAAGCTAATGCTCTGGCAACCAGTGTTTTACCCGTGCCAGGGGGCCCACACAACAGCACACCCCGTGGAGGGGTGATGTTGTAACTCGCAAAAAAGTCTGGATACAATAGGGGGAAGAAAACCATCTCCTTAAGGGCATCGATATATTCCGATAGCCCGCCTATGTCATCAAAGCTTATGCTCCCATCAACTTGTAGTGGTTGAATATCAGCCCTACCCTTGGAGCTGGGTCCGGCAGTTTGAATGCCAGAAGTCAAGCTGGTCAAGGTGTCACTTTGGTGACCCCAACCAGATGCAGCAGCAAGGTTTAACCCCCATGTGCCATGAGTGTCTAGACCCCCTAAAAGCCAAGGCGGGCCAGATCTACCCCCCGTTCTACTACCCCCCCAAGGCAAGTGAGGACCTTGGTCCAACTCATCCACAAGAAGAGAATCATCAGAGTCATCAGCTCGTGTCATTCTGTGACGCTTATGAACTCGGTGTCCTCCTTTTCTTACATCTCTGTTCACCTTATTACTTCCCATTCCTTGCTGAAGTACCCTACGAGGAGACCGTGGTCTTTGTTTACTATTCCCCTCCTCAATGGATCTCCGAACGTCAGCACGATTGCGGAGGTCATACCGCCTTCTGCCCTCCTGTTCTTCACCCTCCTCGTCATCACCATCCTCATCTTCACCATCTTCATCTCCATCGCCCTCATCCTCAGCATCATTACCCTCGGCGTCATTGCCATTATCCGGCTCGTCTTGGCCTACCTTCTCCTCAGAAGTGCCCTGATCATCATCAGACTCTAACTTCAATGTTTTTTTAGCAACTGGTGTTGGACGACGAGATTGTAATCCTGCACGGCGAGGGCGCAGCCCAGCACGTCGAGGTGTTAGTTCATCTTGAGTTGCACTGTTATTATCAATTTGGTTCGTGGGACGTCCATATTTGGGGCTCTGATGAAAATTCAGACAATGCTTCAGATTCCGGTAAATGATTTATTAGTTCCCTTTACATGCTAAAACTAAAAATCTAAAATCATAAGAACTCACAGATAGGTGTATGCTTATATATGAGCTATCCTACCGAATAACATATGATGATGAACAAACAACTAAAAAAAATATACCATAAGGTCATTGTCCTCTGTTCCAGAACTATCTGTATAATCTTCGAGGTTTACAGATATCCTCCTCTTTCTAGTAGAGCGACGAAGATCGGCCACAACTGGCTGCCAATAAAACCAACAAAAATATACTACTGAGCTTTTACACAAGAAAACATCTGCAAGATAAGCTAGTCTATAGCAACAGAATACCAATTGAAAGGGTCTGCAGCGTAAGCCGTAATTTGAATGGCAAAGGGAGAAGGTCATTTACTAAATTTAGAATCAAAGAGAAGATACAGAGTAGAAAATACACAGTAAAAAAGAAATGGGTAACGAGAGTACAATCACATCTTCTCATTATTTTCACACAAAAAAAAAACTAGAAAACAACAATACGTACTTTTGTCTTGGATTTCCGTACTGGACGATTACTGAATATTTTTGCAATATGAGAAGCTGGCATCTTTCTTTTTGTCTTTGTTCTCCGAGGTTCCATATAATACAAAAATTGACGACCATTGACATATGGTTTTGGTTTTCTCCTGAGCCTGTCACTTGTACGAACAGGCCTGGAGTCATCTTCATCTGCTGGACTAGAGCGTTTTGATGGCATTCTGCTTATTTATGTCTTCCCATAGGCATAAAAAGCTACTCCATCGAACTAGATAATTGTGAGTAAACTACAGGTTCAGCGTATGGGAATAAAAATAATACTAATCACGAGTATATGTAAAACGAAAAGAAGGAAACATGGGAACATCCTTCAAGCGCTTTTCAATTTGTATCGATAATATTTAAAAAATACTTCAAGGAGTAGCCTACTTTAACAAATTTGACTAATAACATATTGTCATTCACTTTTTGATAAATCGAGTAATATCCTACATGGAAGTAGCACCAAGATAGCATATAAGCATGCTTCGCTGATTTTTTTAAATAGAAACAGTCCAGGAATATACTTCAACCATTCGATTAATCACATGAGGGTAGGTAACATAGCATGACCCAATTAAACAAGTAGCACTATGACAAATGTGCTAAATGGTAAGAATCTTCTGTCACATAATCACACTAATAAAAAATTAAGTGTGTTTGGGAAGCAAAGAAAAATAGAATTAAAAGGTCAAACACAATTATAAAAATGAAGTCCAATGGTCAATGGATGATGAAGAACCTAAAACTAACTACCAAAAGGCGGGAAATGTCCAGCTCTGTATAAAGAGAAAAAGGTCGGAGGACATGTTCAGATAGAAGATGATTAGGTCAAGTATACATTGTTTGTATCCACACAAAAAGGTGAGGATCAAAGTAAAAGGCATAAAACCTATGTTGCACGAATCTTAAGGTAAGTGCCACTTCCCCTCCCCAAAACATTCCCGTTTGGGTACTTGGGACATCCCCACACCCAAATCATTTGTAAAATTTAGAAAAATTAGTGTTCCCCCATTCCCTACCACGTCCCCGTACAACTTAGAGTGAAACTATCTTCCAATTTCCTACCAATTTAGGGAAAGTTAGAACCTTCTCTTTACAGATTTACCTCACTACATCAGAATAAGCTACAGAAACCTCTAGGTGGGATTTACAAGTCATCTAAGTAAATGAGCTTTTAACTGCTCACAAAAAGCAATAAGCAGATATTCCATTATGCTACCAAATTGTAAAAGCGTCTTAAAATAAGAAATAAGCACAGATTTCAATTTTCTAAAAACAAGCCCCTACTCATTTCACATGACAATATATAGATGCATATGGATGGCCTTTTATGGCATACATCAAAAATACTGATCTGAAAAGCGAAAACCAGAGCTGGGGAGTGGCGTTTGATGCGCATCTTCGAGAGAAACAAGGCTAATGGAAGATCTATATACTAGTGTTCTAGATTTGGAATTCGGACCATCTAAAATGCACACTTGGTAAAAAAAACACCTACAGATTGTTCTTCACTTCTGGATAACTGCGAAAATGCATAATATTCTTCTGGAATAGTTCAGAAGGTCGGATTAAGCAGAGAAGATGAAGATGAAAATGGAGAAGTACCTGAGGTTTATCACTTTATGCATATGGAAGAAGGGGCGAATTGCATGTCGATGGAGACGGAGGAAGGAGGCCAGTGAGTATAGTATAGCTGATGTATAGTTCTAATAACTGTAGCAAAGATTTAATTGGAAATTGGGTCGGCCCAAATATGGACTTAGGCGTCATGTGTTAAACCGGCCCATTAGTTTAGGAAGAGCTCCTGTTATCTGACTTTGGGACAACAAATGGGATATTCCCTTCGTGTTAAAGAAAAAGAGAGAAAATCATTTGCTCTAATGAAGAATCCTATTTAAAAAAAGCATTTGCTCTAAAAAAAACCATTATTATTACTTGGTCCGTCCCTAAGTATTTGTCCACTTTTGATTTTTGGAACTGTTCATATAAGCACTTTTACTCATCAAATTCTCTCAATGTGTAAGCCTAAAAATAGTCATGTGTGATCTTGTTTGATTCGTCTTAACATATAGATTATTAATATACAATTTTTATAATTTTTTAATATACAAATTACAAGATAAAATGGATTAAAGAAGTGCATTGGATGGTATGCAAAAATGAAAGTGGACAAACACTCAGGGACGGAGGGAATACTATTTAATAATGGTATATGATTATAATTATTTGAAAATTGAAAGCGAGAAAATCATTGATCTCCACGTAGCATGAGCACCAAATTATATAATGATTTGCTCTAAATCGCATCAAGTCATAATAATGTTATACTTGTACTCCGTTATAATAATAATAATAATAACAATAATAATAATAATACTCTAATAATAATACTAATAATTTTATGATTATGATTATTATTATTGTTATTATAATACAGTGGCAAATACAGATATATTCAAAAGAAAACCATACTCTTCTTCATACAAATATAGGTATTCAATTTATTGCACTCGATAGATTTTAAATATATCTAGTGCTAGAACTCAAATAAATATACGAGCACCATTTTACAAATGAACATGTAATAAATATAATAATATAGACAAATTCTTCTGTAGACCTAAAATCCATGCTTATCTTATGCATCTTAGTGCATTTGTAGCATAGAAACAATGGACCTTTTGCAAAATATAAATATCCACATACAAGCCCATGAAAAATATGAGAAGATCTACATTTTAAATGTGGACCTTGGGACCATGTAAGTCTACTCTGATATAATGCATTACTTGTTTAAGTAAGAGCGTAACTCAAGTGAAATAGTCATTGCAAAATATACTAATAAAAAAATGAAACGAATATTTTTTATTGGGTTTGTGATTCGTATTCTGAAAAAATCATTTCAAATGAGAATTGACATACTGCCCTACACTAGATAGGGTAGTTATAAGCATTCCTTACACGTTCCATTTCAAATAATTATCAAAATTGTTGAACCAATATCCCACTGATTCAGATCGTTTACTTTAGCTAGGAGGGGCTTCACTGAGTATTATTCCGCCACCTTACTTTACTCATCATCTAAAACTGGACATGAAAAAGGAAAAAGAAAAAAAAACATTGGAGAACCATGAAATTAGAAAACAGAGCTGCTATAAAAACATCATCTGGATGACTAATTGAATCGAGCTTTTCTCGTCTTTGTTTTTTTCCCCCATCAAATGTGGTGAAGTTTTACTTTTGCCAGTAGAATGCACACGCCATAGCTCTCTGTTTGTTCCTTTTACTTTTTTTCAGATGATGAGTTTTCCGGGGGACGATCTGATCTTTTCCTCTCGGGAGATAGGCTAATTTGGCAGTAATTCAGGCTTCTGTCCAGATCTAAAAGGTCATTGGCAATTTGCGTGCGTCGCTCTTTAAGGAAGTTAAGTGGGTTTGTTAGCTTTGACAGTGCTGATGCAGGAGAAGCACTAGCTCCCTGGTGATAAATGAAATGGACTTGTTAGCTTTGACATTTAAATACTCCTTTGGTGGGGTGGGGTGGGTGGGGTGGGGAGGGGGGGTAAAAACAGCACATTTTCATGTGTGTAATGTATTCCAACAATAGTGGGGGAAAACAAGAGCAATGGAGCATACCTCGTTTCTTGGACCAGGTTTTTTTGAGGTTGTTGAAGCCACAATCGAAGCCCCAGAGCTGTTGAGATTATTACAAGCAGGGACTGATTGTTTGCTTACGATCGTTTCAGATTCGTCTTTCTTCTCTCTCTGGCTATTGGCCTTGTTACAAGACGTATCATGTTGCTGCTTCACACATGCAGTTTTATTTTAAACCCATTCTTATCTTAATAATAGGGCCAGCCCTGTGAATTTGGGGCATTGTGCACTAGAGGCATACGAAGTTCTGTGCTATGACGTGTTTTATAGCATACGTATCAAGAAATTTCATAAACATCAATTGCTACACCAGTCGTTTGCGTAGCTTTTTCTGGTTTTAACACAAATTGCCCAAACCCCGGATAGATTTTTAAGTTTTAAGCATGCATTCTTATGCTTTAGCATTTACCAAACATGAAATCAGAATTGTTTTAGTCAGCAGTATATTGTCTCTTTATTTATCAAATGATTCTATTTACGTAATACTCTTTTTTAAAAAAATTGGCCTCCTAATTTTTTTTTTGAGCCTGGTGCCATTACATCACCTAGGCTGTACCAGGGACAGCCCTGCTAAATTATTATAAATACAACAATGAAATTGAAAAAAAATTATTATGATTATTATTCATTTCTAAAAAAATAATGGGCAGAAACCCCAGTCTACAGTTAAAAAGTACCTTACTTCTCAATGACTTCTCTTGATCTTGTGAAGTAGTATTGGTATCCACATCCATGTTTCTATTATCCATGTTATAGTCACATCAATATGCAAAAACAGTAAATAGACAGTAAATAGAGAAAAGGAATATCATCATGAAAAAAGTGGATGAAAAAATGAAAAATTAGAGATCAGATAAAGCTCTACCCCAAGGAATGCATGCAACAAACTGAAAAAAAGGAGTAAAGTACAAAAATTCTTACTGATTTCCTTGATGAGTTAGATTTTGACGTGGTTGACTGCCAGTGTCGTTATTTAAAAATCTAGAAATTAATTCATGTTGTTTATTGAGCTCTGCTCCAAGATCATCAGCCCTCTGCTTCAAGTGGGTAATATCTGCCTCTACTTGAGCAATCTCCTCAAGTTCTGATCTGGTCTATTAAACAGAAAAGTTTACTATTAGAGGGCATAGTAAGCAGTAGTTAATTTATCATATGATATGAAGACTTTGGGTTTAAACCAACTCACTGCTTCATCAATACTAGAAGGAATGGCCAATGGTAGTGGTGATTTGTTAAGTCCAGCTTCCAGTACCATCCTCAACTCCGATTCTTTTTGTAACTGCTCTTGAAGCCTCGCTACCTGAGCCAAAACAAGCAACAAAAAAAATTGCTTTAAAAAGTACAAATAAATATAATCTGCTTGGTTGGTTCTCCACGAACAAACTACTAGTCAATGGAAAGAGGAGAGTGCTAATTGAGGGCATACATCTTTTTGAAGAGCTAGACGCCGTTCACATAGAGCATCCTTTTGTTTTGCCAACCTCTCTTTCAGTAGCGTGTTTCCCTTGGCCTAATGTTATGAAGGATGATTATGATCCATTGACTAAGCATGCCCTCCGCATTTAGCATAGATTATGATTCATACCTCCTCAGCGATTTTGTTTTCCAATTCTATTTTGGTGGCCTCCAGCATCAAGATTTCAGAACTACGGAAAAGATGGAAAACCAATTAATAAAATGTCAGACTAAACGGAACCAAAAGAATACAGACAAGAGAACAGTACAAGGAGACTCAACAATGTTAGTCATATAGAAGCTGAGTTATTCTCTAGTACTCCATCTATTTCAAAAAAACTTATTTGAAACACTTGTTTTTTCCTAAATAAATAGTCCTATTTAAACAAAAGAATCTAGTTTTAACTATATTTAATGTTTTAAAATTGTCTCAATCAAGTAAAGTATGCTAAATTTGGTTTAAAGAACAAGCAAATTTCAAAATATACCTGTCATGAATTATTTCTAACATGTCCATTGCCAATGGAGCAAAAACAATTCTATTTACAATGTTTTCACTACTGTAAATAATGGACTAAATTAGAATGACAACCTAATATCCCCTTGCTGTTTAATTTCTATGAAGTTTTGGGCAGTAAATACAGCATTGCATCAAAAGTCTAACAGAAACAAACTCTACGTTCATTACACTGGTAAGACTACGTAAATCATAATCTCCACACCCCAACAGAAATTGACCTATCTTTTGGGACGGAAGAAGTATTTCAAGAAATGATAAGATAGCCACTTACTCTTCCTCAAAGGTGAAATCAAAAGATTCTAATGGAATGTTATTGCCCTGTCCAAGAAATAGTAATTAAAAGAGATTAATAATAATAATCATTTTAATAATAATAATAATAATGTTTGAAAGGGAAAGATGGACGGTCAGAAAAATGACTAAAAGAAAGTCAAAAGACTGATGCTTAGGGAATGAAGTAAAAGTATGTGTGTGTGTGTGTGGGGGGGGGGGGTCGTAGAGAGACGCAAACAAAACTTGGAGTTGAAAAAAGATGTGTTTATTTAAAAAGAAAATGTGGCAATGCTCACCCGAGCACGTACTCGGACAGCAGGGCGACAAACAGTGCTCCCATGGAAATTTGATGCTTCTGTTGATTGTTGAGAAACGGATGCTTCAACCGTCTCTCCTAACAAATCAGGAGATTCATTCGCTGGTGTTGCAGGCACGTGACTACTGTGATTTATAGCACCATTACTAATCCCTTCATTTTCAATAGAACTTTGAGGGAGACTACTCGCTTCTTTCTTGTTACCTTCAGGAGACTCAGTACGGGAACTAGAGTCTCTAGCATGCTAGATATTCAGATTAGCAGAATAAGTAAAGGGGAGATGTTGGCAATTAAGACACACTTGAATTAGAAAAAGAACTAGATGCTGGTAAATCATGTTGTTCTAGATAACAAGTCTATCTGAGATACAAGAACTCAAACCACAAAATACTTTGAACATTAAAAACACTGCTCTGCATAAATGAAAGAAATGTAACAGATTGAATATGCTCTTTGATATAAAATAACTGAGGTTAACTAATCCTTAAAACAATCCTTGCTGATTTCATGGCCATATCTGCAGAAAGTAGATATTATGTTAAGGAAGAGAGAAACTAACCTTAATAGCACCTTCAATTTTACCAGTCTCACTGGTAGTGCTGGTAGATGAATGACCAGAACAATCATCAGAATATGCATCAGAACCCTCATCTTCATCATCAACATCTTCATCACAGTAGCTTCCATCTTCTTCATCTTCATCACTAAGTTCTTCGCCCCCAGTATCATCTGAGTCAGAGTATAGTTCAGGTGACACAGAGCCTTCCTGCAAGTAGTTCGGATGTTTACAAGTATAAAAGAAGGGGGTGTGATGATGGGAACAAGGCTAGCTTACTTCTGTATAAAACTGATCATGCATATTATGGTGGGGTCCAGACCGGATGTCCCAGCCCAGATAACCAGCGGGCCAATGTGCTCACACAATTCATAAATTAAGGCAAATAGAAAATAGATGAATTTTAAACCATGCGCAGAAATTATAAAATAGTAATTGAAAAAAGGGACAAAGACTAAACTAGGAGTAAAACATAAGGAAAGGAAAGAACCAAAATAAGACATTCATGTTGTTATCCTAAAATAGGACTTATAATGCTAATATTGTCAACATATATTACCATTTACCAAAAATCACTTGTGGGGTGCTAATATGCAGTGTCACATCGTCACACTATACAATAGTCCTATTTTGGGGATAAAAACATGTCAATCCTAGTTTGGGGATAAGGGCTATGTTTTGCTCCTATTTTGGGTGATTTTTTATAAATAACATACCCCAAATAGATTGGTATACTCTTCCAGCAAAGTTATAACAATGGCCTGAGCATGGTTCGCTGCAGCTGCTGCCTGGAGAAGTTGAACAGAACCATCACCACCCATGTCGAAGTTGTGTCCAAGTTCACATTCTCCGGCTAGCAGTGGACGAAGAAGTAGAGGTGCCATGCAAGCAGCGACAGCTGAAATGCTCATTCGATTCGCATTCTTGTAAGAAGCCACTTTTTGCATCATTGTGAGAATTCTGATATATTAAGTAGAAATTTGCATCAGTTTAAATATTGCATTTGTAGTTTGCCCAGTCAAGAGTAGCAGAATAATTTCAAGTATACATGCAGATTTTCAAATCCACTCAAGCTTCAATAGAGCTTAAAGATTTAAATAAGAGAGACATAGCTCATAAAACCTAACCTAAACCTCAAGGATGTGCCAGCATGATAAAGAATACAACTGAGGCAGGCAATTCATACAAAAGTTACAGATTTATATTCAAAAGATCTTTTCTACCTCTTACATTGCGCTCAACCTTTGTAGCAAAAGCTTCTGGGTTACAACTGGATTTCGAACATTAACAAAGTTGTACCCTGAATGATAAACTTAACTACTTGAAATGAATTTTGCTCAATCATTTGAATATGTAAAGCAAATATTCAAGAAAATTATCCCCGTATTTTCAATCGGTAGAATTACATAGGTACGCATATAATTAATTAAGAAATTGATTTAGAACTAACATAGTTAGAGAATAAACATAAAAATATGCAACTTTAAGAATAAATGTGATTACAAAAAGCATCCAGCAATCAATTTTAATGTTGTTATTATGACTGTTATGTTTTGGACAAGTTGATAAATGATAAAATTCTAAAGCACCTTGTACGAAAGTAAAAACATTCAGGGGGGACAAGTTATTATCAACACCTTTGCAATAACCGCCGATTTGGCTCAGGAAATGTCTCCAATAATGCATTACGTATAGCATTAACTCTCGAACTGCGCTCAGTTCCTAAGAATAAGAGACAAGAAGTCCAGGGTGAGATGTAACATAGAGTTATGAGTGGCTATCTAATTGTAATGCTAGGAACACTGCATATAGTGTTCTCATGTACTGTTTAGTACTTTAGTAGGAAAATATCTGCATATTCCCAAGTGAGTAGGTTAATAAAAACCTATGTTGCTTCACTTTCTTTTTATTTTCCTGATATTGCATGTGTGCAGCTACAAAATTGATTTAAGATGGTAAAAATTTTTTGTTGTGGTATGATCTTATACGTAGTATGTCACAGAAGCGAGATGTGTGAAAGAATGCCAGAGTTGCAGAAAGAGTAAAATTTGGTTCTTTAAGAACTTTGGTCAAAGAAAATGTTCGAAAGCACCCGTGAACATTGAAGACTTTGTCGATGCTCTGCCTCTTTGGTCAAAGAACATCAACAACAACCGTGTGTGCTATATTTTTGCTTTGTATGTTATGTTGTTGTTGTTATTGTATCTTCAAGTAGAGTATCACTAACAATTTAATGAAATATATAAAGCATCATTTGCCTGATGTGATTTTATCACAAGACTGCACACCATTACTATGATAAAAATACTGAATCAGATTTCATATTGTTGGCAGTTGACTAGTGCATGTTTAGCTATAATTTTCTGGCACTAGATATAATATCCTATTCCAGCCTATTTTAATGGGTGCCTTGTAGCTCCTGTTTAAAGGCATCTAATCTCTAAACTTTATCTGATAAAGTCTGTTTTTAACATCTCAAAGCAACAAGGTCCCATTGCATTTTGATGAGCTTAGCGTATAAAAGAACTACTAAAACTATAAATGACACTTTCTACTGAATGCAGTCAGCAATTGTACAGAAGCTGCTTCATTAACTCCCACCAGACATAATGAGGATATTGGTAAAATCATTGGGTAATGTGTACACGCTACTGACTAGTATTATAAGGTCATGAAGAGAGGGGAGAAGATCTTTAATGCTGCAAGAGAAGAAAAAAATGTGGTGTGAACCAAAGGTGGGGATATGTGAGAGAACAGTTCAGAGAAAGAAAAAGGAATGAGCCTTTATTTACAATAGTTTATGTCGGGAAATAAATGCACACTGATCAGAATCTTAGTACCAATTAGTTGGGGTTATTGAACACACATGCACATTGAGTACATAAATTTTCGAAAACTTAAAAAGTCCAAACAACATACTATGTGAGCGATTGAAATTATATTTGCTCTATCCCAAAATGAGGTTCTTGGTTGGAATTGACACCCTTATTATGAAAGACAAATTATGGTGAGCTATATTTATAGGAGAGAAATAATATCAACCACGCTGAGGAAACAGTTTTGGGACGGACAAGAAAAGAAAACCAGAATCTTACCTGGGGAAAGAGGATGTAATAAATTAATAAAACACAACTTCAAGACATAGTGAATACACCATCACCCAACAACTTAAAACAGGTCATGGTACACGATCAAAACAGCCAAACAGGGCAATCTTGACTAATCAAGATAAACAAGAATTCTTCATTGGCTGGTAAGGATTATTTCACATCCATAAATTCATAAGGTCTCAAAGGAATGAGTGTTTAGACAAACTTACGATAAGCTTCCAAAAGGGCATTGCAGCAAGATGCAGGAACTGGAGACGATGGTAATTCCCGAAGGATATACTGGAAGATTTTAGCATTGAAAATAACCAAAGTTAGAAAAGAATGTCAAAGATCTACCAAAGGATATTTTTACACTTCTCATAGGAGATACCTTCACACAGTCAGCTATAATATGGGGATCCTCATCTGGCGAAAACTCTCTTTTCCCTGGGTCAAAATACCAACAGTGCAAGAAAAATAAGTTTGTTGCTTGCCATCCACATCCACCAGCAGTTTACCAAAATTATAATCCATGAAAGGTCATTCAACAATGAATTTATAGCATAGTGCTTTATAATATCATATATGTACATGCTTATGTGTATACTATATAGGCCATACTGACCAAATGGATTTTGGTTTAAACATTCAAAGATGAACCAAAGAATATCAAACAAATCAATGACTGTAGGCTCGCTACCATTATGACTGAAATAAGCATCCCACCATACAGTGATAAAAAAAATCAATTATGCACAAGCTCTTAGCCAATGAAATAAAGTAGTGAGAATTCGACGAGAAAGAGATGAAAAAGAGAGAAATTCTAGAGAAATAGAGTAGTTTTTGTGTTATAAGGTAGGATAGAAAATTAGATGAAATGAGTGGAAATTGAGACAAAATCATTTCTCTCCCATTTCTTCTCACATTAGGAGAGGAATGTTAGCAAAAGATATGCACCATTTTCTTCACTTCATTTCTTTCTCATTTCTACTCTACCAAACAAAAGCTTAATAATGGCATATTAAAGTTGTATCGCCAGGAAATTGGGTTAATTAATTAGATCATTTCATAAACCCATGATAAACATAGCTTTAAAGAACTTTTATAAAGCATGTGAAATGCATCCACCCCTAAAAAAACCATGGAAGATGTGCTTTCATATACTCTGTTTCTTTATACTTGATCCATTACGGTTCACAATGTTTGGTTAACGTTGTTCTCGATTTTATTTATTTGAAATTTACGTAAATTTAAAAAATACAACCCAGTGGAATCCCGCAGCAACAAGGTCTGGGGAGGGTATGTGTACGCGCAGACCTTACCCCTATTAAAAGTAGAGAGGTTGTTCCCAAGACCCCCAGCTCAAGCAACACAGAGTACAACTAGTGCAACAAAAGCCCAAGGAGCAAACAAAAAGGGTGTAAATTTCTAAAAATAGAATTATATATTAAAAAACTATATGCTCCGTAAAAAATAGACGAATATAAAACAAGAGGCAACAAAGACTTATTTTTTCAAATGAGTAAAGAAAATAGGCTAAGAAAGAAGACAAGGTTTGACCCTATGAACAATGAACGGGTGAAGTAAAAAGAAACAAAGAGAGTATTCTGTTTCACTTCACAGTTCGAGATAAATTCTAAAATAGTCACCGTCATTGTTGTCAGCACCTTAATATCATTCTCTGAACAAAATTTATAGTGCCAATTAATTGTATAAAACTAATTTAAATTAGAAATCATGCAAAAAAACAGAGTGGCAACGTTTTACACCGCATGCTCTTCCTCTAGCAATCATCATATGGAATAATGTGATGAAAAGTTTAATGCCATTCTGGTTTAGTCCCTTATTTTCCTGAAGCTAAATCATTGTAAAATAAAAGTCTCTTTTACCTCCAATGGCAATAGTAATAATAATAATAATAATAATAATAACAACAACAACAACAACAACAATAACAATAATAATACTCCGTAATAGTAATGATGGTGACGGTGATGGTGTTAAAAGTAAACGTACCATGTTCATATTGTCGGATTCGATGCTCAACATCATCCACATCTGCAGCTTGCCGCAAGATTCCTTCAACTTGAACTCCTAAAAAGTATTTCCAGATATATAAACAAAAAACAGTTGTGACCATGCATTTAACAGATCCCACGCTTTCCTTAATAAAATGAAGCCATGCTTGAAAGAAGAGAACTCAATGGTTGTTTGCAACTCTAAACCTGGCACAAGGCCATTAAAAATTTATGTTGGATAATTAATATGCAAAGGAACTGTAATCCGAGCCCATATGAAAAAACTAAATAATTGAAAATCTCTTTAACATGACGATAGTACACCAGCATTAATAAAGCAAGTATATGAGCATTGATAAGGGAAAAGTTTAAAAGAGTAGTCCAAACTAATATTTTTAAGTTCTATTTTCTACGTTAAAGGGGAAAGAGAGATTCAAAATGTTTGGAGGCCTGCCATCAAATTATTTATAAACTTTCCTGTTTCCTGAGTAATTGAAGGAAAAATAATTAAGATTCTTTCTTATCAAAAAGAAAACTTAAAAATATGTTGGGGCATTTAACATACAAAGAAAAAGGGTTTACCATTCATACTGCTGAAATTAAATTGATGATAGAGAAATATTAAGCCCATAGTTTGTAAGGCGTCGCCTAGGCGATAAGGCACTGTCACTGGGATGCCTTGTCTGCTCGCCTCGCCTAGAAAACCTTAAGGCGGCCAGGCGCTCGCCTAGGCGTCGCCTTACCTCGCCTTGATGCCTTGGGCCCCTTTAAAATTGTGAAAAAAAACCCATTTTTTAGTGCAGCCCATTTTCTTTTAGTGTAGCCTAATAGACTTAAACTTATCTTAGACAGAAATATTCATCATGACAGAATGATAGGCAAGAATACAATAAATGCAAATACTAATAGAGCATTTTACTCTTAAGATGTAAAGGAGAGAGAAATACAAATGGTGTAATATCTTGATGTAGGAGAATATTACCATACTCTTCTAAAAACTTAAGTGCTTTCTCCAAAAAAGATGCGCTTCCATCAACTTCTTCCAAAGCAAGTAAAATTGGCTGACCGATTACTGATGACTTTGTTGGCTGTCTATCCTTAGCTAGAGAGTGAATACAAAAAGAATAACATGCAATGTCAACTCCATGACAAACATTTATAAAAAAGAAATGCACTTATGCACTGGTGATCAAACTACCAGTACATCCATAAGAGAAACTCACACCATACAATTCCTGCCTTGTAAAGAGTTGAAGCCTAAATGAATGAAAAGAGCTAAAAATAAATTTAGTTAACCGTTTTAGTCCTCCAAATAAAATTCTTTCTGAAATTGATCAAGCATAGAAAATTTGATATGGTTGGATGATGCAGGGTCTTTGCAGAGTATTGCTATTACCAGTTCATAAATATCACAAATATTGCACTATTTCATACCATCACATGCATCAGTAAAGAAAAGAACAAAACTATTGTGTATTATCTTGTTGTAGACTAAAATCTTTTTCTTTATAAATTCCTTTTGAGTGTTTGATAATTAGAAAAAGTGGGGTTGAATAAACCAGAAACTTCTTTACTTCAAAAAAAATATCAGAAAGTTCACAACAGCTAAATGTGTACAACCAGAAGGAAAATAGCTATATCACACAGCTTCTTTTTCTTTTTTAAATCCCAGTGGATCACACAGCTTATATGGTTAGAGAATTATAGCCACATTAGTAAGAAAAAACTAACAGGGGTCTGAAGCATCAAATATATTCCCTTGATCATTCTTGAACATTCCATTTTGTCCCACTACAAGAGCAGCATTTGGTGCATTTGCCAAAGCTTCTTCCAATGCAACCTTCCACTCAAACAAGTCTTCTGATGTTTCAGCCTAACATATCAAAACTCAAACATGAGACAACTAGACCCAAAACAAAGCTTGGTTCACTGGTAGCAATGGTTTCAAGGATGAAGAATAAAGGAATGTGTACATATAGAAACATAACTCTATAGATGAAAATATAACTATGTATTGATAAGAATTAATAACTAACAATGGAAAGAAAAGAATTCAAGACAAAAGGCAACGCGAATATTAGCAGTCGCACCTTCAGTGTGAAAGCTCGCCCATCACGACCATCAGGAAAGAGCACAGTCAACAATTTCTTATCTTCTTTGACGACCACACTGAAAACTTGTTAAGATGATAATGAGTAGTATATGGATGGGGACGTACTCCTCTATATAATAATAATAATAATAATAATAATAATAATAATAATAATAATAATGTGTAAATAGATAAAGCACAACTATAAAGGAAAGATTGATATAAGCCAACCTGCCTGAACTGTTGAGATCGATGCCTCCAAGTGTTAAATTTACTTCGCCCCCCTTTTTAGGAGCAATAGTCTGAAAAATGCAACCAATTAATGAATGTAGGCCTAGAAGATACGCAAAGCTTTGGTTCTATTATTGTAATGAAAAGAATAATTAAAAAAATAAGGTTAAACATAATGCATAGCCTCCTGCCCCAGGTAGGGTTTGGGGAAATCAGTGGGGAGGGGGAATTAAGCAAGCTTAAACAACAAAGTCTTAAAATATTAAAATACTATAGCCCAAACGATCAAGAATCACTAGGTTGGGCCTTAAATGCTAAAAAGAATGAACAAAACATTAGTTGTCTCTAGCTTTAATGATCACTAAGGCAAACAAAAGAATTGTGGCCAAAAGTAATACTTAGTTGTTCAAAAAGATAATTAAAAAAAAACCATAAAGATGTGATATGTTCATATATGCTTGCAATTGCAAGAAGTTCATCACATCACAATAGATGGATATTATAGATCAAGAAAAGGTGGTATAAATGCATAACATTCCGGGCATCAAAAGTTCAATCTCCCCCTTGTCCCCTCAACCAAAACACTCACCACTCTCTTCACTGGTGTTGGTGCATTGTTGCAGCTAACATGATCAAACTACTGCAGTTTGTTATTTCTTACTCTGATAGGCTTGATTCTTTTCTCTGTCCAAAAGACCACATTTGGTATTATATCTAATATTGTATAACCAAATGCCCATTGCATCATCATTATCTCCACAGCGTCCAACTTCCGCTCATAGGCCTTCTTTATTACCAGATACTAAACTCATACTCCATACATCATTACTGGTCAAATGGCTGCGCTGTATAACCTGCCCTACAATTCCAACAAGACATTTTGTCACATAGCACCCCTGCAGCAAGCCAGCAACCTTTCATCTTAATCATCTTACCTTTATATGGTGAAGAGATGTCATCTTCGATCTCTCTCTCTCTCTCTTTGGATAACTGAACTAAACAGTTGTAAATTCCACTTTGTGGCATACTGGTACCCTTTGCTCCTCAATGCTAACTTTTAACTTCATTCTGTTTAACACTAATATTAAACCAAAAGTATTCAATCTTAGAGTTATTAATGTGCAAGTCATGTGCTTCCAATGAGACTCTCCACTGCTCAAGTTTTGTGATAATCCCTTTTCACATTTCATCTACCAAGTACCAATGCAATAAGAAACATGATGCACCACAGGATGCTCACTTGGACCTCTCTGAAAATAACATCCAAATCACAACAAAGAGGAATGTATTCAACTCGAGCCTTTGGTGTAACCTGACTTTCACCTGAAATAATCAGTGTACAGACACGATCCTGACACATGTCCTAACCTGAGCATACATGACTAAAGACTTGTATCACACTCACATACATCCTAGGCACCCCTCAAACCTCTCTTCAGAATTACTTCACGTGAGACACACTATCATATCTCTTCTCCAAGTTTATAAACACCATGGGCATGTCCATGTCTTTACTACAATATGTATACTTCTCCATGGGCAGATTTAATTAACAAGTTAAATCTTATTACTTAATCCCCCAAGTTCCATCAGACAGAAAGGTAACAAAAAAATCACAACCCAAAGTCTTGTAAATGACACAGTGCTGCAGGCCTGCAGCAGAAGAAAATGTCTCACAAGAAACAATAGTGACATGACAATATCAGAAAGCAGATTTCAGAACTAGTTTATAGATAAAATGGATAAACAAGGATATGCAGCTTGAAATTAAGGAAGCTTACAGGATCACTTCTGAAGAACACCAAAGAAGTTCTCGTTAAAATGAACCATCTTTTCTTCCAAGTTGTCCATCCAATACCTACTTCAGAAATTAACATTGTTTGTTATGCTCAAAGGTAATTGCAGCAATGGAAGACTTTGAGATTTCTATCGATGTCTCCTTTCTGGTAATAAATTAGCAACACAATGAAGAGTGTAATCACTAAAACAATGATCTGTGAGATATAGTTAGCAGAATAGCACTGAATAAACACTTTTCTCCAAATAAGATGCATTGATAAAAAAACAAAGGGATGTAAAAAAAAGATGATCAGACAGAAATTGGCACAAAATTGGTTACTTGATTTTGGTTAAACACTTGAAAATACTCCACTAATAAGTTTTCACAGTGAAATCGGGATCTATACTTTCATTGATGGTGTTCGCAGTTGTGTTTGACAACTGCTTTTGAGCTTCTACTTTGTTAAAATATACTCCGTAGTTTATTCTGTTTGGTAATCTGCTTCCGCTAGTAGATTATGACTTCAAGAGTTTGAAATGGACTCAAGAAGTGCTTTTAAGCAAAGCTAAGACAATTTTCTTTTTGCTTATACTTATAGCTTTTGCTTATTCAAAAAATACCACAACCACGAACACCCTCTCTGGAAATAGCCTCTCCACTTTTACTAGGGGTAAGTCTCCCCAGACCTGCTTTTGTGGGATTATATTGGGTTGTTGTTGTAACCACGAACACCCTCATTGTGTGGTATAAGCAGCAAATATAGTTAGTTGTGTAATACACAAAATATATGGAGAACTAAATAAATTGTAGTACTAAATATAGGTAAAATGAAGAGGCTAAGTTCGTATGAAAACACGAAAAGGGGCTAAACACAATTTAAGGATACACTCCCCATCGCCCATCCCCCCCCCCTTAAATTTTCTTCCAAATTATTTTTAAGCCTCAACCATAGTTTGTACTTTATTCAAAACTTAGTCAAGTCAATACACAAAGAAAACAATGGAACAGGGTGAGTATAAATGAAAATAACAATAATTATTAGAAATATGAGAAGTGTCAAGTACTGAATGCTTCTTATTTTTGGGTGTTAACTACTATAAGCATCATTAAGCAAAAACTAGTAAGGAGTGAGGACAGACCTTTGGATGATAAAAACAAAGGCCCACTTTTGTAGACCTGCACAGCCAGATAAGTTCATGAGAGTTGCATCCATATATAGAATTGTAAGTTTCAAAACATGCAAAAGTTATTTTTAATAGGGTACTATATATTCCAATAAAAACATGGCACTCCCCATACGGATGCATGAATATTTGTGAATTGAGGAGTTTTAACTTGGAACAAATTCGTGATGAGGTAATTCCATCCTTAATGAACAGATTAAACATGTGACGCGCAAGATAGAATCAAGATTCAATACCAATTAGTATGTATAGTGTATTTAGTATTTATGTTCAACAAAGAGCCAGGTAACAAATATCCTTACAAGGGCCTTACACAAACCAGGTTCTTATCTAGAGCTTGGATGTGAGAGCTGAGTATTGCTCGAAAGTCGAAACTATACTAAACCTGGGTTACACACGAATCAGTTTGATCAACTTGTTTTTTGAGGCCAGTTTGATCAACTATTCATATAGATAGTTGCAAATTCCTGTTTTGTCCCCTAATGTGTAAATTCAGTTGCAAAGGTAATTTCATTATTTCAAGATTATTCTACTAAACTAGGTAGTTTCCCACCCATTTCCAGCAGAGCTAAAGCATTCATTATTGGGATTTTTCAGATTTGGGAATATAATGGACTAAATGAAAATGGGGCATTAAACTTCCGGTAATTCTTACTTTCTATGAGGTTTTGGGAAGTACATGCAGCAATCATCTAGGGTGTAACAGGAGCAGCCTATTTATTTTTCAAGGGTAAGACTGTGTACATCTTGATCCCCCGAGGCCCCGAGTTGTGAAAAATACTGAGGTGTTGTTGTATTCTATTAAACTATGGTCTAGTAGAGGCTCTATACACTTGATCTCTATTACTTAGTCTAGCATCTAGTAGTCCTGAGTACACTCTTGAACCTATAGTTTGGAGTCTTCAACAACAACAAAAACAAACTTAGTATAATCCCAAGTACATTGGGGTTTGGGTGCCAAGATGTAGGCAACCTTAACCATGACAAGGTTGTTTCCACTAGACCCTTGATGCAATGATGCTTAGAAAGTACTCCGGAAGAAGCAAGAGAGTTTAATGTTCCATTTTCTTCCCCAGTTCAAATCTGGGTGTCGCCTTTTTCGATTAGTTTGGAGTTTTATGTGCATCCTTTTAGATCTCTATTGCACTAGAGAGAACTAATATAAGGCTTTGTAGTCTTGTATTTGGACTACAAAGTCTAACAAGTCCTCCATATATAATGTCATCCTTCCTTCATGGGGAATCAATAAATCATGTGTGCTGACATAGACATTGGTATTGATAATAACAAAGATAATGATGACAAACAATTACCTTATTTCCACCGCGAAACTGTTGAACTTGGTTGTCATTGCCACCTGGAGGCAGTGGATTGCCACCTTCACCCTGAAAAAAGAAATTGCAAAATAACGATTCAAAGGGGGAATCAGATCATGTAAACAGAGATCATATGTGATCACAAATTTACAGCAGCCTATAATGTTGGTGTCTTATAATACCTGAAAAGCATCGGTGTTGCGGTTGGGCATGATGCTATTCCAATTTTCTGAAAATAGATGTCTCCATCTTCATCACCATCCTACAATTCTCATGAATCGTAGCTAATTAGGGTTCGATTCAGCTGTAATGGACGGATCAGAAGGAGAAAAAGTGGAAATAAAGTGAGAAAAATCACTTTGCCCACCTTTCTGACCGCAATTACACGGAAATGGAAGTATGATGTAACGGGTTATCATGACGAAGAGAGGCGGATAGCAATAGATCGCTTTCTCTCTCGTGGAATTGAAAGTTTCTGTTTTGTTTTGTTTTCGGATTTTTTTTTTCTTTTCTTTTTGAATGCAGCGGAAGGGACGACGTGGTTGGCCGGAGGAGTTGAGCGAACGGAAATCCGACGGTAAAGGAAGGAAATGGAGAAATCTCCGCCGGCTTTTCCCGAGAAGCCGAGGATGGCGGAGGCATTTTTCATCGATTTCCTTTGGACGTTGGATGAACGAAAATTTCCGACGTCCGCATTTTTGGAGGGAAATGCCCTTATGCCTTGTCACTTGGATTAAACGAACTAATCCAAATATAGAACCAATTCCAATTTTCAAATAAAATTTGTATTTCTATTCGATTAATATTTGAAAAATTAATGAATACTAGATGATTATTTGAATAATCATAGAACATCGCTTTTGAATAATTTAATTTAGACTATTTCTATAGTATATCTAAAATCATTAATAAATTATTGTATTACACAAATTATATTTTATAAAATATATTTATTGAAAATCATATAATTTGAATTTTATGTTCCATTTATTTGACCAAATTTTAGTAATTTAAATGCATTTTATACCAAATAGTTCTGTAGACTACCGCCTTTGAACAAATGTGGTATTGGAGCCACAACCGATTCGACTAGTCGTGCACAACTGCTAACCACTACTGATGTCGTTCGTGCCGTCTTTTCTATGGATCTGTCTTCGTCTATGCAACCCACCCTGCTTAAAACATAGAGTGGTTGTTTCTTGGTACGGTGATTCGTAATGAATGCCGAAAGTTACAGTGACTCACTTTATTGGTGTACAAAGAGTGACCAAACAAACAAATCAAACCTATATTGAACTATGTCCCATATTCTTTACACTTTTTTTGATCGTCCCAGAAAATAACTACTAATCATTCTCTCTTTTCTTTAGACAAATCTAAAGTATATATTTTTTATTTTATAATACATAGTAAGGAATTGACGAAATTAGAATTAAATTGAGAGTTGAAATTCTACAGAATTGAATTTTTCAAATCTTATTCATTTTTGGCACTTCTAATTCTAAATATATATATTTTTGTACTATCAAATACAGAGTATCTGAATTAGAATTGTTGTCTCTAATTTTAATTTGATAGTTTGAATAACCATAGTTAGAGTAATAAGTAAATACTACTTTTCTCCCTGAGTATTTGTCCAATTTTAATTTTTTTTTCCAGTTAACTATATTCAACCTATGACTTATAATTAAATAAAATATATATTTTATATTAATTAGATAAAATAATATTTTGAAAATATTTGATATAATAAATCTAATAAAACTATTTTTGTATCAATTTCTAATGTCATTTTTATTTAGGTCATGTTCTCTTCACCTGATCTGATTAGTCCTAACTTGATTGAAATAATTAAGTTTTAATCTGACCTGGTCTGATCTGAATATAGTTATATTCAAAGTTATTTTAGATCTGATCTGATTTCAATAAGAATAAGTAATAAGTAAAAAAATAAATTGAAGAGAACTGATTATAATTTAAGATTAAAATTTACCAATTTTGATTGAAAAAAGTAAAAAATAAATAGACACTTGGTGGGAGAAACCGAGTAAAAAAATACGGAGTAATGTATAGGGCTGGGTCGGAAAAACCGAAAACCGAAAACCGAACCGAAATCGATCGAAACGAGCTAGAAAAAAAACCGAACCAAAAAAACCGAAACCGGATGTAAAAAAACCGAACTGAACCGCTATTGTTTGGTTCCGTTTTGGTTTTTATTTTGAAAAACCGAACCGAACCGAATAAACCGAACTTATGTATATGCTTCTTTTTTATGTATATGAGTATATGTGATATGTATAAAAATCATATAAAAAAACATGCAAATATATTACTAGTTGATTAAAGTTTTTAATTAACTATTAATTAAACATTTTAGGCACTTGACACATATTTTCTATGTAAAATTGAACCGAATAGAACACTAACCTTCCGTTCGGCATTTTTTTGTGTAAAAATCAAGCAAAAAAACCAAACCCAAACTTACGTATTTTTATTGTTTCGTCGAGTTAGTATTTAGACAATTTTTAATGCTTATAAGTATTTACTTTTATATACCGAAAAAACCGAAAAAAACCAAAATAAAAACCGCATAAAACCGAACCGAATAACCAACGGTGAATGCATAATGCATAATCCGAACCCACCACTAGTAATGTACAACTACCCATGTGGCCCACTTTGGGTGATGGAAATGCCCGAAATGGTGAATGCATAGTGCATGTACTTCATGCTCACAAGCGTGCGGTTCACACGGATCATCAACCCTACTCAGAATAATAATAATCACGCTACTAACAAAATGGGTTTTGGTAGTTACCTTCCTAATTACTTTACTTGCTAATAATCTAATATAGACTCCAGATTTTAGTCTCTAAAAGCATCCTTAATATTAGATGCTTGAAGAGTTGGATGAAAATTGATCCAACCTATTGTGGGTCTCTACTTCACTTGAGCTTGTGATTGTGATTTAGAGACATTAATAAAATTCATTTTTGACTTAAAAAATAAATGAATTTAATTATATGAATATAAACATGCAATATAAATGTGAGACAGATAAAGTATATATATTCCATATATTGTATATTAAGAAAATAAAATACGTAGTTTTTTTTTTTTGAAAATACCCCTTCCGTCCCTAAATAAATTTTCTCTTTCGTTTTTTCTTGTCCCCAAATAAACTTCTTTTTTCCCTTAAAAAACTTCTTTTACCACTTACGTTTTCATATCCAACTTATCACATTATAACTTTTTACTACTAATAATCTACATATCACATCTTACTTTTACACATCACATCAAGGGTATTTTTGGAAAGTCAACACCAAAATATCTCTTTCTTAAATCTTCAAAAAGTCAAAAGTGGAAGTTTATTTAGAAACGGAGGGAGTATTTTTCAAGATGAATATAATTAAATCATTATGTACTACTCCGTAACGTAACGTAGAGTAAATTTTATTTAATTGATAGTTAAATTTGTCAAATTTGGTTATAAAACTCAAACTATACACACATCTTGGGATGGAGGCGATGGTCTTGTTTGAGAAGAGCGTTTTCAATTAGCGTTAGCATTTTGGTTAAAATATTAACAGTATAAATTAATTCGAAAAATGTTAACGCTACAAATAGCCTTTTTCAAAATATTAATGTTAATCTTTAATGCTGATGTCAAATGGGTGCATTATTTTTTTTCTTTCTAATTTAGGCCTTTATTTAGTGCAGGACATTTTCTTTTATTTTTGGGAAGAAATGAGTAAAAGTAAAAGCAAATTTTTTCTATATAGGCACATTCTGTGCAGCCCTATTTTTTACTCTGGGATTCCTTCTCTTTAATACGTATTCACAAACATTCTCTCTCTCTCTCTCTCTCTCTCTCTCTCTCTCTCTCTTGAATATCAGTGTTTTGTGGTTTCTGAGGATAAGGAAGAAATCTGGGAGGCGGGAGCATTGTTTTTCCATTCACTGTAAGCATTGTTTTTCTCGTTAGAAATGGAATCTTTTTCTTGATTTCATATCCGATCTGCTTCAATTCATGCTTTTAGATTCTTCTAAATCTATGTACATGTGTTTGGAGTGAACTAACTCATCGACCCAGAATTTCTCTGCATTTTCTTGATGAGATCACATGTTTCCCTTCTCCTTGTGTAAATCTGGGCAAGTCAAGATAAACCATGGAGCAGGCAGTAAAAATTTCTTAATCCCGCCAATCAGCTGTTTATTGGAAAAAATATCTGGTTTACTTTTGTTAATCTTTAGTAATTCTTTGCATCAAAGATCATATTTTTAATTTTATTCACTCATGGATTTGAATTGAATCTGATCTGGAAACAGGTGGGGAGAAGAAGTTGCAGAGTGAAGAACAGCATGCGGTGGTACAGTCTTTCAGTTGATGTGTTTAGGAAAGTCATCTTCTTGAATTTGTACTGCCGCGTAATTCTGTAACAATTTCACCCCCACCTTCACATCCATAGCTTGATTTTCTTACCTTATAACTCTTTTTTTTTTACCCTTGACAAAATATCATCTTGTTAGCCTTCATTCGTTCATTCATTCAATGGGTTCGACTCGTTTCATTGTCATTCCCTGCTACGTCCGCCGGATCAGCTGAATTTTTATCATCTTCTGTGTCAGTGTGTCGTTATTAATCCTTTCAAATCAATATCTGGTTTAGTATTTTGGGATCTTTTGATTTTGTGTGTGGGGAAGGGGGAAGGGGTTTGGGGAAGAAGAAGTTATGGTGTGCCAAGCAGCGAGCCAGACGAGATTCAGGGCTTTGAAACATGAAAATGGAGTTGCAGGGAGTTCCACCATTATAGTTAGAGTCATAGCTTGCTTTCAACCACTCCAAGATTGCCAGGTGAGTTCCCAAGTCCATCTATTTTTTACTCTAGAATTTAAATTTGAAGAAACCTCCTAAGTAGTAAAAAAACCAAGTTCCACTTGAGTTACTCCTCTCATTGCCAATTAGTTTTTAGTTGGAATCACATAATTTTGCAAGATTAAATCTTGTTAAAAATCTGGTTGGATCAAAATCAGCTCAAAAGAGCTATATTGATGATCAGGATTCTCCAAGACTTCTTAATGTGTATATTAGTTCAATTCATTTTTAGCATATGGGAAACACTTCATGATTTTGCTTTTTTTTTATGGTGTTTTCAGGCTGAATATTTTCGTCACCTGCTGAAACCTGTCACGTAGATTAGTTGATTTTCTTGCCCCTTTCTTTCTCAAGTTAAGCTGAAGATCTCTCATTTTTTAGCATTTCTTCTTCTTCTTCTTCTTCTTTGTTATTTCTCAAAAACAACACAAGCTATATTCAGCAAGTTCTAGTACTGGTACGTGAGTTTTTCCCATCTACTATACTTCTTTGTGTTGCTATTAGTCTTAGGATTGAAAATATCTGGATTTTACTCAACAGGATTTTTGGCCCCTCCCATGTTTTTCTTCTAGGTGGTGGGATTTCTTGAATTGAATGGAAAAGGATTTTGATCCTCAGTTCCCTCGACGCTGGGACCCACATATCCAGAATTTTCCTGCCATGGCATACCGTCCTAATAACTTGCTTCTCAACAGTTTGCCTTCTTCTTTCCATCCATCACTGGGACCTACAACTGAAGAGGAAGGTCCCGTTTGGGCGAATCTGAATCCTGAAACTGCCCATGGAGATGCCCGAAGGAAATTTCTTGTTTTTGATCAATCGGGCAACCAAACGAGGCTAGTCTACAGTTCTTCTGCAAATGCAAGCTGGCTTCTGAAACCCTCAACAGCACCCAGTGATCCAACCCCTTTTCTTGGCGACGAATGCGTCCAAGAGAACAATGAGGGAATGGAAATGCATCAAGAAGACTCTGAAGAGCTAGACGCTCTTCTCTACTCTGACGATTCTGATTCTGATTCTGATTCTGATTCCTCTGGTGATGAAGTCATAAGCTCGGGACATTCTCCGAGTAACCATGGCAATAAGCCGGGAGAGGAGGGGCCCACCAAAAGGCAAAAACTTCTCGAGGGTCGTTATGCCCCGTTTGGGCGCTCCGAATTAGAGGATGACGCGGAATCAAGCTGTGGGACTACCAACAACTGCAGGAAAAGATCAAAAAAGGAGAAAATACGCAAAACGTTGTGCGTTTTGCAGAATATTGTCCCAGGAGGAAAGGGAAAAGGCGCAATGGGAGTTATTGATGAAACAATCCGATACCTGAAAAGCCTCAAGGTTGAAGCTGAGTCCTTGAGGCTTGATGCTCTATAATATCTGTTCCTTATCCCAGAAAACCCCAAGGATGGAGTTCATCTTTATCTTTTTCTTTCTTTCTAATAACAATAACAATTTCTTGGTGCATCCAAAAGTGGCAATAATAAGAACGACAATCACAGTAGGTACTTAACGGGGTTACGCTACAACCAAATTGCGAATGACACTGAGATTGACACCGTCGGTGTCAATCTGAGTGTGTATCACAGATAACAAGTGCCTCATGAACATTCTTGGTTGCACATGGTTGTCTATGGTGTTATAATTCTTCTTGTTTGTGGGTTTAACTGTTTATCCACCATGCCATTGGGAGCTAAGAAATGTACAGTGGATCTTTCATGGCTTCAGAGTTGGATGATGATGATGATGATGATTGATGAGAAGAAAACATGTTTTCTGTCTCCCATGGGACACTGGAAAAACAGGGTGGAAGGACGCACGCCTAATATGTTCTTTGGAAATTGGGTCCCATAAATTCACTGTACTTTTCTTTTTTCTTTCTTTCTTTTTGAACTATTATTATTATTGAAAATAATAATGTGACTTTACCCCTATCTTGTGGGGATTCCCCCAAACTTATCATATTTAGTGTGGCAAAGTCTTTGTCCAAATTTGTCATTCTTGTTTTTCTCTTTTAGTCCGTCATGCATTTATCGTGTGTTTTTTCCTTTATACTGTAATATATAGAGTATTAAAAAACTTATCAAACTATTATGTTGGATTTCTCACATTGAAAAAATAAAAAAGAATACTACTAGCATATATAGAAAAGTAAAATCTTACCTATCAGTTTAAGCTTTTGGATTATAACAATAGATCCCGATTTTATATGCAATTGGTTAATTTTACCCGATACTCTTCAATCATAATTCTCACCCACCGGAATACCAACATGGTATCGGAGCATGTACGGTCTGTGTTCGATTGTTCCTGGTTGTTTGGATGAGAGTTTAGCAAAATGAACTACATTTCCGTGGTTTGGATTAAATTGACTATAAGAGAATGAGAAGTCACTGCTTGTTGTGTGTGCTAAATAAAAAAGATTGAGATGGTAGTCCCGTTTGTCCAAGTGACAACTTGATCAGGCTAGTTACCACTTGAAGAAGAGTAATGGAGTTTCCACATTGAAAAATAAAAAAAAGAATATATCTAGTATGTATAGAAAGATGAAACTCTACCTATGAGCTTATCTTTTGGGTTAGAATATTGGATCGACTTTATATGCAAGTGTTTAATTTTATCCGATACTCCACCTATAATTCTTGGTCCACCAGAACTTCAACACATCAATCGTTAAAAAATGAACTATCAATAAAATATAAAGTGACATGCCTATGTTATTTCAATACCCTGCAAATGATAAATGAAAATAAGTAAAAATGAAGAAAACAATTTAGCATTTAAGAAAATAGTTTGAGAAGAATGAGATAATAAGTCTATTCGAATTTGGGTTTGACTTTTGAGTGTAGGTTGGTTTGTAGTGAAAAATATAGTTTGAAAACAACGTTATAAGCTAGCATTGATGTTTTGAGAAATTTTTTAATATTTTAGATTAATTTTAAAAATTTATTCTCTCCATTCTAAATTGAGTTATCTCTACAAGGGTCAATTACACTCAATTTTTTCCCCCATATTTTCTTACTCATCATGTCTCTTCTTGTTATATAGAGCTCTTGATATATTTTTAGTATGTAAATGATACGGACTGATTTCATTGTCCCACACCGGTTATATGGGGGACTTGGTGATGGGTTTATATAGCCAAGGATTCTCCCACCTTATCAGCTAGCTTTTAGGGTGTGGCTCTCCCCTGTGCTGTATCAGTAAATAAATAATTGGATTTGTGGCAAAGTCAAGGTGAAAACTTAAAGCGTGCATTAACTTTTGACTTGGGAATGGCAATGAGATATTGAATTTGCGGGCGTGCTGTTCTTTGTGGCCATATACTTCGGAGAAGGCGACGTTACTGTAGTGACTCGATTTGGTTCTATTTATTTTTTACTGTTGTCAATTTATAAAAAATGTGAAAAAGTCTACACTTCAAATGTAGGCTTTAGTTAGGAACACAGGAACACGGAAGAACAACCTGCATTTAATACGGAGTATTAAACTTAAAGTACTGAATGTATGCTACATAAGTATTTTAGATACTAATATAAAAATAATCCGTCACAAAAATGTAAAAAATTGACAAAAAAAAATAATTGAAATGAGCGAATAATTTTTGGAAATTAAACAATCCTAAAATAAACAACTCCAAAAAAGTAGTGTTGATGCTTCGAAGTCACTGGACTTGAAACCAATCACGAAATGGGCCGTTTTACCATCAATTGAAAATCTAAGCCCGTTAAAGTTCCGTTAGTTATATGCGCTTTTCGGCCCTATGGCCCCAAATTCATTACTCCGTATAAGTTTACTTCACCAAAATAATTTGAAAATGTTAGTATAACTAACTGTATAACACTAACACCAAAAAATGTCCCGTTTTATAAAAGTTATTGTCTCCGTCGCAAATTAAATTATATATTTAGTATTGACATAGTAAAATTTTATTTATTTTTTTCCTATTTTTAATAGTCATTTAAGAAAATAGTATAGTTATGTCACCACTAGTTTTGTAAATCGTTTGATATAGTTTTTAAATATGTATTTTTCTTATTTTAATTCTACACCATTTTTTGTATAAAATAATTCAAAAATAACTTCAGTCAAACACTATAAACCGAAACAGGTGATTTAAATTGAGATGAAGAATAGATTTTAGAAGGTAAAAAAGTAAACAAAAACAATGTTGATGTAATTTAGGATTGGGTAAAGATAACTGGATTGGACAATAAGACACTTACGCTGAATCACGTTATAAGATTGAATTCAATCAATTAGTTAGTTTAACTCAAGAGTTTATATACCGATTATTTTATTCTTGAACTTTCGATGTGGGATGTACTCTAACACTTTCACTCAAGTGGACAACCAGACCATTTTGAATTTATTGGTTGACCACTTGCTAATAGATTCCCACCCCCTTGATTTATTTTAGTGCCAACACATTAAGCATCACAAGCCGCTGTGTATGGATCTTAAGACGAGGAATTGTGTTAAACGAGCCACATGCCATTGAGTATGTACTCCAAACGGACAACTGGGCTAAAGACTAACGTGCCGCTAGAAATAAATGTCTAAGACACCTCGATAAATGAGGTGAGCCAAAACATGCTCTGATGAGCCAAAACCTCGATAAATGGATCCCCTCCTCTATCCATAATCATCATATTTATAGAGGAGGATTTGTGACCTTCCTCTGTTCATCCATGGACAAACTAGGAAACTCGGAGGAAGGTCAGTGTACATAATCTAATCACTGTTCAATCATAGACTTGTTATTAATACAACCAAGAAGCACTGTTCAATCAATGACTATAAGTTGGATATTCTCAATTCAATCAACCTTGCAAGATGACAAACATTCTTTCACTGTATGCCTCGTGATGGATGAGCGGTGGGGTGGTCCCTCGGCCTCTGATGTTGATTGCCATCCTTATGATATTGGACCAATGTCAGCCAAGTAACGTGACATGACCGGTCACCTTTTCTCAAAGGTTATCCGGTCATTTCTTGAGCTCAACCCATCTCTTTGGTCTTCTGGAATATCCTTCGTACTATTAAGTGACATTTTGGCTATCGCCCAAAATGTGACTGGTCACTTTTTTTAAGGAAAGTGACCGGTAAACTTTTGACCTGTTTCAATCGATGAGTTGTCCTCATTTGGTGATTGAAGAAAGTGACCGGTCATGTTTTGACATGTCCCTTTCAGTTATTCAGGTCGGGTATAAGGATATACCCACCAGAATCCAATCGACTAGTTATTTTAACTCAAAAGCTTATATACTGATTATTTTACTCTTGAACTTTCGATGTGAGATGCACTCTAACAAATGTAGTTGGATCCAGGCTCTTGAGGAAGGACGTGTACGTCATACGCAAATCAGACCCCTTCTCAAAAGTAAAAGAAAAAAAGTTATTATGAATAAAAAATGCAAATTTTATTTTGAGACATTTTAAAAGTGCACAAACTATATCACAAAAAGAGTAAAAATTTTCATGTGATATTGAATAAGAAGGTTGTAGTTTTTGAGTCTCTCTCGCAAAAAGCCATTGAGAAAACTCTGAAGAAATGTTGACTCCATAAAAGATACTCGTGGAAGGGTTTATGTTACACATAAAGTTCTACACTATCGTCAAGTTAACAGAAGTCAAATTTGTTCGATAAATCAATTGGTAACCTCTCTAAAATTGTAGAATAACGCCTATCGACCTAATTGTTAAGTATTTACTTAGAGTGTTCTATTCGCAAAATTATTAGTTAATAAACCTTTAATACTCGGATAAACCTTTCTATTCCGGCCCAATCCAAACACACTCCCTAATTTCTTCAATATTTTTTCTCAAAATATTATTGACTTTGGAATCGAAAAATATTTTAGAATATATGGAACGTGATGGAGTATTTATCTTCCAAGATAAGATAATCCTAAGATAAAGGGCCGAGTTTAGCCCGACTAGACGTAGTCCCGTACATAAAAATATTAATGTTAGGCCCGCCCAAATCAGGTCCCTTGTCTGTTGTAGGATAACTCTTACGTAGTCAAACAACGGCTCGGCTCCTTATGACAGGGAGTGTCCCCCAAATTCATGAAAAGCTGTGAAAGCCAAAAATGCTTTGCCTTTTTTCAATTTTCTGGCCTTTCCACTTTATTTATCATCATCCACCGCTAAACTTCAAACTCCATACCCTTCTTCTTCGCTAATGGCCTCTGCCTCTCCCTTCTTCCTTTCTCATATATACCCTCATTCTTCTTCTTCTTCTACCCTACTCTGTATTTTTACTCTAGTAATTATAATCCCCCATGGGTTTGCTCTCTTGCACTGCCGAGGCCGCAATTGCCACCTGCGATTCCTCAATCTTCAAAACCCACTGTCCGCCAAGCAGGCCCTTCCAGATCAGAGAGTTTTCTTGCTCCGATCTTGATTCTGCCACTAATGGCTTCTCCCAGGGAAATCTTCTCGGGAAAGGGAGCTATGGGTTTGTTTACAGAGCNCCTCTGCCTCTCCCTTCTTCCTTTCTCATATATACCCTCATTCTTCTTCTTCTTCTACCCTACTCTGTATTTTTACTCTAGTAATTATAATCCCCCATGGGTTTGCTCTCTTGCACTGCCGAGGCCGCAATTGCCACCTGCGATTCCTCAATCTTCAAAACCCACTGTCCGCCAAGCAGGCCCTTCCAGATCAGAGAGTTTTCTTGCTCCGATCTTGATTCTGCCACTAATGGCTTCTCCCAGGGAAATCTTCTCGGGAAAGGGAGCTATGGGTTTGTTTACAGAGCTAATCTTCTTGAGGGGCGAAATGGGTTTGCCACGGTCGCCGCCAAGGTCACGAAACAGAGCAGCGCCGGCGGAACCGCCGCCGCGGCGGAGAACGAGGTGGATGTCTTGTCCCGTGTTTACCACCCGCGGCTCGTCAATTTGATCGGGTACGGGTTGGAAATGAACCGGAAGAAGGTTTTGGTTGTGGAGTTTATGCCTAACGGGTCTTTGTACGACTTGCTTCACGGCTCGGACCGGCCGCTCCGTTTCGATCGCCGGATTAGGTTCGCTTTGCAGGTGGCAAAGGCGGTTCGGTTCTGCCACGGGTTGAACCCGCCGATCATACACAGGGATATAAAGTCGGCGAATGTGTTGATTGACGGGAGGTTCAACGCGCGGCTGGGGGATTTCGGACTGGCGGTGATGGGACGGGTGGAGGATGCGGCGGCGATGCGCACGCCGCCGGCGGGGACTTTGGGGTACCTCGATCCGGGATATCTTGCGCCGGGAGATCTCACGCCGAAATCCGATGTGTTCAGCTTCGGGACACTGTTGATGGAAATCATCAGCGGCCGGAACGCCATTGACTTAAATCACAGCCCATCCTCCGTCGTGGACTGGGCGGTGCCATTGGTGAAATCCGGGGCTTACGCTGAGATCTGCGATCCAAGGATCCGCTTGCCGGAGGACGAGGCGGCAATCCGGCACATCACGGTCTTGGCCGCCCGGTGCGTGAGAAAGACAGCGAGCAACCGGCCGACGATGTCCGAAGTGGCGGGTTGCCTGAAAGCGGTGTACGATCGCCTGAAGTCGCCGGTGTGGACCACGATACGGCGGCGCGTGGACTGCGTGCGGGAATCGACGCGTGTGGCGGCCCGATACGAGCCGCTGGAGGACAGACTGGAGGCCGGAAGGATTTCCCGAGCCGGCAGCCGGAGAACGCGGAAAGGGTCCAGCGTGGCGGGCGCAGAATCCGGAGGCGGCGTGAATAGCGCGAAAATTTGTCGCCATTTGGCTAAGGCGAAATCCATAGGTTCTTTGGTGGAGATTGGATATGAGCCGTTGGATCCTGGGAGCTGCCAGGTGGGGCCAGCTAAGAACGCTGGATTGGGTGCGAAGAGGTCCACGGTGAGGTTGAGCAAGTCAAGGTCATTGGAAGTGCTGTGCAGCAGTAATACTACGAAATTACTCCGCATTGCGCAAGAGTGATGTTGATGTTGAATGTGAGAGATCAAAATTATTATTGGACCGATACAAGGAGGAGGAGGCCCAAATGGAAAATCCTCCATACGAGTAGTTTTTTTCTTTCTTTACTCATAATTTAAATCACCCGTTTTGACTTTTGGGCATATTTAACAAAAATAAAAAATAGAGTTGATTTTTCAAAATTGATATTACTTTTTAAGAGGGGTAATGCTGAATGAGAAGATAATGTGAAAAAAAATGACTTATTTTAATAGTAGTTCAGGTATTTTATTTTTAATAATTTACGAAAACAACTAACAGACAATTTATTTTGGGACGGAGAAAAAAGGCAAACAAGCAATTTAAAATGGGACGGAGGAAGTAGTAATTTTCTCACTTGAAATTTTACGTAACTTTTATTTAATTATTTAATACTACCTCCATCCCAGAATACTTGTCCAGTTTCATTTTTATACACCATCCAATATACTTCTTCAATCCATTTTATCTTGTAATTTGTATATTAAAAAATTACTAAATTACTCCCTCTGTCCCATAGTATTTTGTCCACTTTCATTTTTACACATCATCCAATATACTTTTTTAATCCATTTTATCTTCTAATTTGTATATTAAAAAATTATAAAAATTATATATTAATAATTTATATGTTAAGACAAATCAAACAAGATCGCATATGACTATATTTAAGTTTACACATTGAGAGAATTTGATGAGTCAAAGTACTCAGATGAAAATTTCCAAAAGTCAAAAGTGGACAAATATAGCAGGATAGAGGTAGTGTATATTAATAATCTCTATGTTAAGACAAATCAAACAAGGTAGTATATATATTAATAATCTCTATGTTAAGACAAATCAAACAAGATCACACATGACTATATTTAAGTTTACACATTGAGAAAATTCGATAAGTCAAAGTGCTTAGATGAATATTTGCAAAAGTTAAAACCGGACAAATACTCTGGGACGGAGGGAGTAAGAGTTATACATCTGGCTTAGCATATTTGATTAGTTTTGAGTTTTTGTTTGTGATGTATTGAGTCCTCCAACTATAAAGGTACAAAGAATAATTATAATAATTGTAAGAAATCTCTCAGAAATAAAATCTCAATATCATTAGCTTTAACTTAATTAAGCTTGAGTTACACTAAGGTTTTACTCCTTATCTATTCAAAGTCTACCTACTACGACATACATGGCATGTAACTGTATCATATTTTCTCATAATGATTGAACTAGGAAGAAGGATCAAAGTAGTAGTAAAAATATGATATATCTTCAAAATAAGAGTTAAAACATAAACTTCTCAAAATAGGAGTAATTAAATTAATTAATCTAGTGGCTCAGAGTTAAGGAAAGAGATATAAGTAAAACATTGACCATGTACCAAAATAGATGTTATATTCATATTACAAATATGAAATTAAATACATTTTATAATTTAGAAAAATCCTAATTTAGCTACAGCATCTGCTACACATGTTAGTGTCGCCACCCTTGCCATCATTGCCACTACTGTTTTCGCATCTCTAGCTGCAATCGTTATTAAATGGGACAACCATCTACATTGTTCTTGCCACTAACACTGCCACGGTCGGCACTATCGTCGTCATTGCCACCACGATCTGCCGCTCTCATCCCCATTTGTTGCGGGTGAGGCCCTCATTTGCTGCTGTTAATGTCGTAATTTACTATTAACGTTAGGGTCATGACTGCCATTGTCGCCACCGTATTACCATGGTGTCACTACCAAGGGAAAAAAGTTTTCAATACAATACCAACCAAAGTCACAATGTTTAAGACGACAAGACATACTGATAAATATGTCATCAGACAATGCCAAACATGTTATTGCATAATGTCAAATATGTCAATAGAAAATGTCAAAAAGAAAGCGAAATGTTAAAATTGCCAACATACAATGTTAATTTTCTTATCACTGTCACTAAATTTTGCTTAAATTGGGAGCAAAGTTGAACACAACTAATAGAAAACCAATTAAACAAAAAAATTTAAAGAAAAACAATCAAATACAAAAAATGAAAAGAAAAAACCAAATTAAAATTAATGTCTAATGAAGATGCATTTTTTGGAGAAAAAAGATGAATGCAATTAGTTGGAATTATTTCTTACTTCTACGATGCAGTCTCAATTATAAAGCATTTGAAAGCCAATTAAAAAATAAAATCATAGGTATCGTGATTGGTGGCCATCTCAGCTCTACATGGGGGAGAGATAGAGGAGGCGCTCCGTGACGGATCTACATGGGATGCTTCATAATAGATCTGCAAAGAGGAAAGCTGGTGCGGCAGCACGGCAATGAGTGGGGCAACAGTGATGCATTGCACTTGGGGTGGATTTGAAGAAAACAACGCTTCAAAATGATGAGGGTGATGGCCAAAATGAGAGAGAGGGGAGAGAGAGGCGGGGTGGAGTGGACGTGAGGAGATAGAACTGAGGGATATAAGATTACTAGATTACTTAAAGATTTGATACTATTTATGATGCTTTCTTTATTATTTAATTAATCACTTTTATTTGGAGGAGTTTTAGTTTGAGTTCATATTTTGTTATTCCTATTTAAGAGGTTTTCTTAATATTCATACTAGACAATTATTTTAATTTACTAAACAAAATATATTTTTTTCATCTTATTACATAATCCTAACAACATTCATCCATTATATAGAAAAGAAAAAAGTTTATGGTGCCATGTGGCAGCCACTTGTGTGCCAAGGCATTCCAAAAATTTAAGTCCACCCCAGGGGACTTCTTGGCTTCTTGCTCTCAAAGTGCCACAGTGGTAATAGGAAAGCATAAAAAGATAGATTAATTAAATATTTAATACTACCTCCGTTTCTCAAAAGAGTTCCTCTTTTGACTTTGGGGGAAAATAAGGAAGTGTTAAATTGTAGTTGACTTTCCAATTTTGCCCTTAATGTGATGGGTAAAAGTGAGATGTGATAGTTTAGTTGTTAGTGAAAAAGTATGATGTGATAGGTAGGGTATGAAAAAGTAGGGGTAAAAGTGGTTTTTTAATAGAAAGGGGAAGTGTTTTAAGAAAAACAAAAAAAATGAAAGAGGAAGGGTTTTAAGAAACGGAGGGAGTACTATTTATGAGGCCGGGTTTCCTTATTATTTAATTAATTACTCCTATTTAAAAAGTTTAAATTTAAGCTCTTATTTTGAGTATACATGCGTCAATTATGATTAGAGAATCAATCATCAATTACTCCCTCCGTCCCACTATATTTGTCCACTTTCATTTTTGCACACCATCCAATGCACTTCTTTAATCCATTTTATCTTGTAATTTGTATATTAAAAAATTATATAAATTATATATTAATAATCTATATGTTAAGACAAATCAAACAAGATCACACATGACTATATTTAGGCTTACACATTGAAAGAACTTGATAAGTCAAAGTGCTTAGATTCCAAAAGTCAAAACTGGACGAATATAGCGGGACGGATTGATTCAGACCCTGGCCTAACCCCACGATTATTCATTTCGTTGGCCCAATCTTTAATCACATCTGCGTAGTGATGCCCTACATTATAAATAACAAACCCATTTACAATTTTTCAACCTACAATCCTTCCGCTTTCCTAGACTTAATACTGCGTAGGTTTTTACACCATCGGTTATGATCATGATTATGGCAATGTGGTTGTTGAAAGATGACGTACAGTGTGGCGACAACACAGATAATGTAGAGGTGACAGTGTAGTGATGGAGGGAGCATAAAATAAGAAGATAAGGAGGGAGGGACGAGTTTAGACCGGAAATCAAATGAATGAGTCACTAGACCACTTCGGTTAGGACTTGAGTCCACACAACCCCGATAGTTCTAACAACACAAAAAAGAGTAAGTATTAAGACTCTGTTTGGTATATGGAATTTAAGATATGAAATTACAATTAGAGACACTAATTCTTTTTTTGTGTTTGGTAGCACAAGAATATATGTCTATGAAATTTATGGTGCTAAATATGAATTGAAAATAGAAAATGCAATTCTATTTAATTCGAATTGATTGGATTTTAATAATATTTCTGTCAATTTCATATATTAAATAGGCTCTAATTACATTTTGTTTGGATGATAAGAAAATGGAATGGAAGATAATGCAAGATGGGAACACACACATTGTGAAATAAGGAGTATTTTTCTTGTTTATATTTTGGGTAAATTTCATCAATGGTACCTGAACTTTAGCTGGAATTTCGAAGTGATACCTGAACTTCAAATCCTTTCACAAAAATCCCTGAACTTACACAATCCTTTCACTAATGAGCCATTAGCCCGTTTCTAGGTTAACTTCCGGTCATTAGGGCCAAATTCGAATTTTATATATTTTAAAATTTTCAATTTGACCCCATTTCTTCTTTTCTTTTCTTCCAGGCCCCGCCGCCGCCCGCCGGTCAAAGNTAAGGAGTATTTTTCTTGTTTATATTTTGGGTAAATTTCATCAATGGTACCTGAACTTTAGCTGGAATTTCGAAGTGATACCTGAACTTCAAATCCTTTCACAAAAATCCCTGAACTTACACAATCCTTTCACTAATGAGCCATTAGCCCGTTTCTAGGTTAACTTCCGGTCATTAGGGCCAAATTCGAATTTTATATATTTTAAAATTTTCAATTTGACCCCATTTCTTCTTTTCTTTTCTTCCAGGCCCCGCCGCCGCCCGCCGGTCAAAGTCGCCGGGAAATGAACTTTTTCCGATTCCGGCGAGACCAATGTCATTCTCTTCGTCTTGAGACTAGGATCAATAATATCCAAACCATTTTGTCTGTAACTTCTCGAATCTGAATTTTTCTACTCGAAAAAACCCTAAAATTCGAAATTGAGTCTAAAATGGGAGGTTTTGCAAATCGTCATCAAATCTTGCAATTGAAGGGTCCTTGGAGGTCGCCCGGATGCCACGACCACATTGGAGTTGGTGCCCGCCGTCAATTTCGACGGAGTTGGCCGGAAAACGCTCCGACCCGCCGGAAACCGCGGGCGGCGGCGGCGGGGCCTGGAAGAAAAGAAAAGAAGAAATGGGGTCAAATTGAAAATTTTAAAATATATAAAATTCGAATTTGGCCCTAATGACCGGAAGTTAACCTCGAAACGGGCTAATGGCTCATTAGTGAAAGGATTGTGTAAGTTCAGGGATTTTTGTGAAAGGATTTGAAGTTCAGGTACCACTTCGAAATTCCAACTAAAGTTCAGGTACCATTGGTGAAATTTACCCTTATATTTTGGTTATAAAATGTGGGAGGAGAAAACACTACGGAGTAATAATTTCCGACACACAAACATTGTGTTTGGTACGAGAAATTTGGAAGAAAATAAAAAAATAGTTTTCCCTCATTCCTCATTAAATGGAAGAAATTTGATTTTTTTTCCTCTTAGTACATTTTGTCTTACTCCCTCCGTCCCATAAAACATTTCTTATTTCAAAAATGGCACGCCTTAAAAATGAGTAATTTTAGTGTTAGTTTTTAATTATAACTAATCTTTTCTACACATCTCATCCTACTCTTTTAAGAAGTAAGGGCAAAATTAGAAAATAACACCAAAATTACTCATTTTAAGAGTGCGCCTTTTTTAAAACATGAAATGTTTTATGGGACGGAGGGAGTATTATTTTCTTTTCTTTTTTCATTTCTTTTTCTTTTCTCTCTAACCAAAATAGGAAAATATTTTTCTTTTTAATTTCTAAAATCAAACATAATGAAAAAGTGTTCCCAACATAGATGAGAAAATGGCATTATCCTTCTACCACAACGAGATTTTAATCTTTTCAACTTTTATACGGAGTATATCTTTTTCTCCTCCTTTCTATCAATCCAAATTTCAAACACTATTTTTTTAGTATTTCTTTTTTTTAGTATCTCTTTCCATTCAAATAAAATATGGATAAATATGAACAAAATATTTAGGAAACGTACATCCCGTATTACCATTAATGATTTGATGGGGTATTGGGACACCACTTTTATGCCAACAAAATTCTGCAGAATTACTGATTCGATCCGTATTTTTGTCTTTTTTGTTCCCTTTTCTTCATCCTTTCATAAACAAAACAGAGTCAAAGCTCATTCAAAATTAAAGTTATTGGACGAAATAAATAAAATTTCAATTTCAAAACTTTAAAATAAAAAATGAGATTTATTTATAGTCCGAGGCTCCGAGCAAGAGTTTATCCACGTGACAATGTGACACCCAAAGTTGCTTCACCCGTAAACATCGTTGCTTGTACAAGCAACCATATTGTAGTCATCACTAAAAAGTAATTTTTTAATTACAATTAAAAAAATTCGCATAACACGTAAAATTTATTCATTTTTAACCAGTAGTGCAATTATATTACTCCACCAAAGCAAATTACAGGAGAGAGCAACCATTAACAATTACAATATTCCTACTACAATTATCTCAAATACATGTTTTTGAGCTTAGCATTAATATAAGTCTTCAAAAGATATTGGACCCATTCACTACACTCTTCACATATCTGATTTTTACATTGCTTATTAATCTTCATATTCCTAGCTTTCCACATGGTATATATAACATATGGCATCGGTGGCGGACCTAGGGGGATTCATTGGTGTCAACTGACACCACAGATTTTAAAAAAACACTATTAGGTATTGACAATAATTTTTTATATTTATTAATAATACTTTTTATCCATAATCATGTTATTTTGAATTATTTGAATGTTTGAGGAAGATTTATTACTCCTTAATTTTTTGTTGTTTATTATTGTGTTTAGAAAATTAATAATCTATCAGTACTGCAATGTGTATTAATTAACTTCAATATTTTCTAGTGGTATCATTTTCATCATTTTTATAATTAAGAATAATATCATTTAATTATGTTACTTTAATTATTTAATCGTTAAAAATAAAATTTATTAGTTTGATATTTATTGTTATTTCTTATTGTGTTTGTAGAACAAATTTGGATACGCTGACCCCGAACTTTCGTAACATGCTCACACAATCCGCCTTAGGGCCCTTTCAATGGTTATTTGATAAAATAAAATATTCTTGACACCTCTTATTTCGAAGAACTTTTCATGTAGTTTTTTATATGTAAATTTTATTTTCAAATTCTTTACTAATATGTAAATAAAATGAATTGAAAAAACTTGATATTTTGCATCGAGAATACAAGTGTGGCAAATACTTAGGGACGGAGGGAGTATAGTTTTAGATAGTTCAATATTATACATATATGGTATATAAAAAATATATACTTCTTCCGTCCATATTTTGATTACAAAATTGGAATTACGAAATAAATTTCAGCATTTTTGAAATTATTATATTACACGATTTTTAAATTGTGAAATAAAAATTACTTCATCCGTCCCAGAGTATTTGTCCGCTTTCATTTTTACACACTATCCAATGCACTTCATTAATCAATTTTATCTTTTAATTTGTATATTAAAAATTATAGAAATTATATATTAAGAATCTATATGTTAAGTCAAATCAAACAAGATCACACATGAATATATTTAGGCAAATTAAGAGAAGTTGGTGAGTCAAAGTGCTTAGATGAACAGTTCTAAATATCAAAAGTGGACAAAAAATGTGAGACGGAGGGAGTAAATGTTAAAAAGCTACACCAAAAATTCTAAAAATAAGAGGTGATAAGAACATTTTATATTAGTGATAATCATTGAAAACACACAAATAAACAAAAGTTGTCGAGAAGAGAGAGAAAATAAAATTATAATCAAATTGGGATAAAAAGATTATTATAATGAACCCAATTTTCTAAATTTATGTTATAATTAAATACTTTTTTTTCTTATAGTCAAAATGTCACACAATTTAATCCAAATGGAGTAATACAAATTGATACATACTCGTAGTGAGGTGAAATACATGTCACAAAAAAATGGAGAAGAAAAATGTGATTGGCCACGCGCGCATAATAAAGTTCCTTTTGGTAGTTACATATCCCCTGCACCGCCATTTGTCTGCACTCTGCACCCCCTGATACTCCCAGTAGTGAGGCTAAAAAAGCTTCCCCTCCCATGGCAATGGCGTGAGCCACCACGACCCTCCTACCCATAGAGTACTACCATCGTCTCTCTCATCCCTCTTCCCCGTCGTCCTCCTTTCTTCATATTACTAACAAAATATTTGATTCTCCTCCTTGAATTTTGGAGTAATTTTGGAGGGCCGCATCAATTCTTCTTCCAGGAGTCTGATTTTGAAGGGTTGTTCTTCCATGTTTCCAGCGGCAGTGCTATTGGAGCGCATCAGATTTTTTCCCCAGTCAATGAGCTCATCTGGAGTAATGTTGGAGGGCCATATCAATTCTTCTCCCCAGTCGATGAGCCCAACTGGAGTAATATTGGAGGGCATCCCAAAAAATAGGCAGATCTGTTCATCTGCAATTAATGGCCGAATATGTGAGAATATAATCACTGGTTTCTTGGATCAATTGAGGTTCACGTACAGGTAATAATAAGTTTTACTCTTAATCTCAATGTTTTAATCCACGGCGTATTTTATTTGTTTTTAAAATGATCAGGCATCGTCATCTTCTCCGTCTCCACAAGCTACTAGAAGAGTAGAAGCTACAATTAAATGCTTTTACGGAGTAATATTTTTAACACATACTTCCTCCGCCCACAATTTGATTACAAAATGAGGGTTACGTAGTAAAATTTCTTACTTTTTAAAATTATTTTATTTACAAATTAGTATATTAATAATATATAAAAATTACATAATAAAAAAATACGTCAAAAGTTCTACAAAACAAAATGTGACAATAATTTTTTATTTTATCAAATACTTAATGAAATCGCGTAAACAAACAAAAGTTATCAAGAGGAGAGAAAAACAAATTGTAATATATTTATGTTGGTGGCATTGTACATGTGCTTTTACGTAATGTAAATCGTCATGATTGATAATCTAAATATATTTTAACTCTTATTTTAAAAATAAAAAAATGAAACTTCATTTTGGTATATTTTTAATATTTTACCATAAGTGTACGCCAAGGACATATAAAAAGTGTATTCCATTTTTACATCATAAGTTCATAACTCTTCTTATGACATACCCGTAGTCTTTATCCATTCTCTAATCTTCTTATCTACACTTAAAATAACTTAATGAATAGACTGTAATATTTGCATTTACGACACACTTTTAGCATACTCAAAACATTTTAAAATAGGGAGAATCACGGTAAAAACCAAATTGATTCTATGATAAATTTATTTCAACACAGCATAAACATAATAAAAATAGAAATTTTATTTTGAGTCGATGGTGAATTGGTGATTACTTTTTTCTTTTGCTGTTTGACAACTCCGGGCTACCTGGAGAAGATTATATAACCGAGTATATAGCAGGTTTTGGACGGTCTCCACTCTCCAGGCTTTTACCATGAATTGAAATCTCTTCCCGCTTGAAATCCAATCCCTAATACTCCGTAACAGAAAAGTAACAACTCTCCTCCCGCGCCCTCAATCTTCGCCGGAAATCCATGCCGGGAATGTTCGGCTCCGGCAACTACCCGGCGCTGGTGTCCTCAGACGAGATAATCCGACTCGCGTCTGAATGCCGTCGCCGCCTCCGCCAGAACAACGTCCCCCGACCGACTCTCCCGCCTTTCCTCCTGGATCCGTCATATCACCCCATTCTCCTCTCCTATCTCAACCGCCGCGCCTCCTTTCATCAGAATCGTTCCACCGCCGTCTCGGCGTATGTTGACTCCCTCCTCACCCTCTCTAAGATCGAAGATTCTCTCACTCCTCTCCTCCCACACCTCCTCCAATCGTACACCTCACTCTTCACTTCCCGCCAAATCCCGCACGATTTGCACTCAAGCTCCTCCCTCCGGCGCTTCTCCACTCATCTCGACTCCAT